GAGAGAGAGAGAGGGGTTGGACTACCTCAGGGCTACAATGACTGCGAGTGGAGTTACTAGGTTAGGTTCTGGGTTAGTTTAGATGGATCGGGGATCCTTGCAGAATGTAGAATGAAAGGGGTAGGTCGAAGGGTGCCGGCAGCCCGATTGGGAAAAGAGCGGGGTTAGGGGGGCATTTGTCGGCTTGTCCGGAAAGTTTCGGCGTATATTTTTCAATCGGCGTTACGCGCCGCTTTTTAAGTGATCTCTATTTGCTCGTTTCGCATGCGACGGTTTCTCGGAGTCGGCGATTTTTTCCGAAATCGAATAAGCGAATGGAGGTCGTCGCGAGAACAAAGACCCGATACGCGTCGCGAGTTTCCAATATCAAAAAATAGAATTTTTGAGGAAGGAAGGACTCGCTTTTCCAGATAGTGTTTGTTTTTCTCTCGGCAAAGAGAGTTCTCGCGAACAAAAGTCTATTCTTTGCTACCACGGATGGGACCACCTCTTTCATTCGCGATCCCATTCGAGTTGACTTGTTCGCAACGTTCGTAAGTGCAATTGCGATTAGAATCGCGCGATTGTACGCGTCTGTTGCGGTCTGTTACACGAGCTATATATCCCCTCCCCGGAGGGAGGGAAGGGGGGAATAAAAAAGCCGGGACTGGAATAGAGAATCGGAGGGAGATTTAATGTATCCCGCCGGCTTGTGTACAACAGCTTAATCCGGATAGATCCGAGGAGATTATGAACGGGCGAATCGCCTTACGGCGAGTCCCCGAGTCCCCCAGTCCCCCGGCCGGTATAAATAGTTTGCTAATTAATTCGCGCGGCGGAGATATAACGAGATATAACGTATCGATGCGACATTTTGCATTTTCGCTCGACATTTTCGACGGGAATGTAACGACGCGCAGAAGGACGCGTGGTGGATATGATTTTATCCTGGAATTACCGTCGTAAAACGAGTACATGGAGGACGCGACGCGATAATATCGTAAACGTAACAACTTCATACGCTGATCCTAATTAATGTCGCGATAAAATACGGGGAGGTAGAGAAGGATCACGCGGACACACCCAATGAAAAGCTCTTTCACGGCACGGACGGACTGAATGGTGGATAAATTGCTCGACAATAAAGTCTCGTGGCATCCCCGCGCGCGGGCAGCCTCCCCGCGGGGCTCCACGTTTTGGAATTGGGGAGGCTATACCGGTGGATCGGAATACCCTGGGGGTCCGAGGTACAATGGCGCCCGGTGATGCTCCAAGTTGTTTTACGTCACAAACTTCGGGAGGGGGAAGGGGGGAGGAGGTGAGGGCTGGAATCGAAAAGGGATGGGCTACGCTTGCCGCGACCTTTTCTCTTGGCCTTTTTTTCTTGTATCTCTCTCTTCGTTTTTTTTTTTTCTTTATCGACCGTCACAATTCTCTTCATCGGGAGAATCCCCGCGCGACCGGGGCTAATCGAGAATCTCGTTCCGCGCGCCAGCTCGACGGACCCGTTCGAACGTCAATTTGTCACGATACACCGCGAATCGCGTCGCACGCGTCATTGCGTTTCGCCGTGCAGCAAGAGGGAACTGCACTCTCGTAACAATGTCACGCTTCGATTCGAGCGCTTTCGATCCGTGGCGCGTTATCGGATACGGCTCGTACTAGAAATTCATTCGATATCTCGATATATATCCCGACCAACAAATCCGACAAGATAGATCCTGGATAGATTATCGGCTCATCGGGTCTTACCTTGATCTATTAATAATGTCGGATGCAAGATAGAGATGCGATCGGACTCGCGAACGCGATGAAAACGCGAGAACGTCAAACAGCGATTTCTCCCCCGTTCCTCGGCCGCGCCGGAGGTACAAAAGATGCCGGCTTTATGAACTTTCGCTGGGTGGTGGTTCGTCGCACGGGTAGCAGCTGAAACTTTCAATAAAGCAATCGCGAATCTCGCGAATCTCCCCTTCTCCCCGACGAGAAGAGAAAGAGAGAAAATAATCCCCTCGATTCATCGTCGTCGCCCGTTCCCTATAATACCGCATCAAGTTATTCCGTCAACGCTTTTTCAAATATCGACCATTAATCGCGCCGTAATTTAAACATATTAATTGAACGTGATCAAAAAACACCTGTTGTAAAATGCCGTATCATCACGCCCAACGTCGCGTTTAGCGTTAAATATTTTATGTCACGTTAATGAACAAATTTACTGCGCAAGTATTCAATCCGCCCTATCTCTCCGGCGCGGATAAAATGAAGAATTTTATTGACAAAGGGGCATCAAATCTGTTTAAAGTAAATAAATTGTTAAAAATTAAATTGTTTCATTTGTAACTTACTTTATAACTTTCCTAAGAAAATGCAATAAATTTTTGAACGGATCGATTCGATAATTAAAAATCCAATATATCCAGTTCAAAATTTACTCCGTGATTTGTGTATCGGGGAGTTCCGGTGCTGTCTGGCGCATTTTGAAATATTCTCAGTGCGCGAACCGGATGCTGAATAATTGCGAAATTCATCTCCTCTTCTAGCCGCAAATTCTCCGCGCTCTTGTTTTAATTATAAGGCTCCCCCGGAGGCATTGTACGGCGTACGCCCCGTCCGACGTATATTTTGCAGCGCGTCCAAAATTACGTTTGATTTATCGCGCGAATAATGCGGCGCTTTATATAGTAATGCTTCGTCGATAATATTTCTCTTCCCCTCGCCGATCCCTCGCTCGCAGCTTGAAATTGGATCAACGGCTCCGGCTCCGGACGCCGAGCGACAAAACAGGTGCAACGTGGAGCGCGACCGCTCAATGAGAGTAATTAATTGCCGCGACGCCGCGATGAGACGTGTCGACCGAGAAGGACGAGGAAAACGAAACGCGATCTGACACGGCCGAGATTGTAAAAATTACGTTTTACGAGTGAGCGAGTTACATTTTATCCTTCCCTCGTCGAGGAAAACTGATGATCGATCATCGGCATGAGCGTGATGAAAGAATATGATAGGCTAATCAGTTTGGGGGATCTGTGATTAACAGATCTATCTGTCTGCATCAAGGTATAATCCGATGCGGATGCGAAAATTTCATCAGCATCAAATTCGCGCCTCGCGTCGGACGAATTAACGAAATATTGCGTTTCGACGGTCGCCTAATCAGCGCTATGACTATAATCGGATAACAGAGGAATTATCTGTTCCCGGTATCGTTGCCTGATAATTGTCACGCGTCGCATTACCGGCGAAATTAAAGTAATACGTTTTGACGATGATGATGCGTGATCGCATTATGTCCGAACGATGAATACGCACGCACAACGATGGGTAATCTGAAATTTTAGCAATTATTTGAAATCGGACAGCTCGTGCACGTCGAAAATGAAAGAGAAAGGGAGAAATCAATTTTGCAGTTCGACATTTGAATAAAACGTTTCGAAATCGCGATTTCAATCAGAATTTCTTTGTAAGGATGATGTCTTGATGAAATATCGAGAAAAAGAGACTCGTTATTAATCATCTTCCAATTTGCAGCATTACGTAATATATTTTTACAACTGTGCGAGCTCCTAATCAAAATTCCATTCAAGTATGGTCTGTCTGAAATTAACTGAAGAATATACGATCTTTGCCCCTCTCTCTTTCTCTCTTTTTCTCTTTGCTTTCGAAACTCAATTCGTCAGGAGCCCATTATTCTCAACCGTTAATCACTTCAGAATCATAGGTGTCACAATTTTGTGCGGGGGAAAAATCGATGACCAGAGATCGACCGAGGAATTTCTAAGTAACAAGGATATTCCGTTCATTGGTTTTCCTTTTTCTCCTTCTCTCCTTCTCTCACATTTTTTTTCTCTGCAAACGCAGGTTGACGGCGGGATCTGCGTTTGCGGCTCTTGCGGTGCGTCCGCGTAACGGCGCCGCATAACGTGCGATGCAGACGATGCGGTATGCGGCATGCGGCGCGTCACAATACCGTACGATCGTTGGTGCAAATTGCAGCGAAGGAGGAGGAGGAGGAGGCTGAGGAGGTGGCGGAGCAGGAGGAGGAGGAGGAGGAGGAGGAGGAGGAGGAAGATTCGAGGACGGAGGGAGAAACAGAGAGAGAGAAAGCAATCCGCTCGTTCGTTAATCTGTGGTCGTTCGAGCACGGATGAGATGTATACGTTTGCCGTTTTGCAGAAGTCACGTGTATCGGAACGCGCGTAAAGCTGCTTAAAGTACATCGAGTTACGACACATTGCTCCCATCGGTGGAATTATTCGCGTTACACGAGTGTATAATGCCAAATGGAAAATAGTTATTTGACCGGCATATACTCTCGGTTCCCAACTGGTCGGCTCTTGCCAATAATTTTGCAAAGTTGCTCTGATCAGCAACGCCGTCGCTTTAATTGAGAGAATTATGTTCGATATATTATTGTGTCTTGATGATTTCGGATTTTGAGTAAATGCGCGAAAATGATTTCCGAGCAGTCGCCCGGGGCATTAGATCGAGTATTACCGGAGCGATAAATACATTGATCGGCAACCCGAAATTAGAGCGCATAAAACTGTCCGCGGTCGTTCGCCACGCGAATGAAAAATTTGGTGTCACTTGGACGCGTCCGCGCTAAAAGGGGGTTCGCGTTATAGCAGATAAATTATTCATACGTTAGGACCTACACATCCGCGCCCTGTTATTACGTGGTCGAAGCACGAGCTGAGCGGAGCGACGCGGCGGACGAATTATGAATATTCAGAAGAGTTCACACGTCGTAAATTTAAACCGCGTCGCGTGTTCCTGCTTTGTAGATGAACAATGGACGTGTAATAGCGCACCGTTCCAGTGAAACGCGCGATTCTCTCTTTCTTTTTTTCTCTCTAACTCCTCATTACGAGCAAGTTTATCATAGTTTTGCGACGAGTCGCGGAATTAACTCTCGCAAATCTGCTCGCGCGGGATTATTATTATTATTATTATTATTATTATTATTATTATTATTATTATTATTATTAACGCAATATCGAGTTCCCGGCGATGTCGCCAATCTCTCGCATCGGCAATCTCGATAGACAATCTCTCAATATACTTCGCGATGCAAGTCGACGGCGCGCAACCGCCGCACTTGCAACTTCAACGACGACTCGGGATTGAAGTTTAAGCTGCGTCCGACTTTACCACACGATCGCAATATACGTGCACGTGAGCTTCTATCGTGGAGATAATGCTTGCAACACGTCAAGGGCCTCACTGTCGCGCATGATTGCCTTTCGACTGCGATTCTCTTGCCCCTCGCTGCACAGAAGCCTGAATTAGAAGAAGCGTTAATTGCCGTAAGCCTATTCGTGCGTAAATGTAGATTCAACCGCGACTACAGCTGCACGAAATGAAAAGTGGATTCTTGCGTATTTCCCAATCGGGCACTGAGAGAAATTATTCTTTGGACTTAACAAATGTTCTTAAGTCTTAAAAAATTTATTCGAAATAGTCCAATCACATTAATGTTTGAACTAACAAATACGATTTTTTAAATATCGAGCAATATATATTTTTAAGTTAGTATTTTTAAATAAATATTTTTTTAAATATTTTAAGTAAGTATTTTTAAGTAAATAAAATGTTTGACTGATAGTAATAGTTGATTATATTCTTTTTTTTATTTAAACATTATTTTTATTGTGCAATTTTATACTGAATATGTTGGAAAAAAATGTTGTTATATAAGAAAATAATAATATTTTTTGTAATATTTTCTATATATTTACACAAAACTTGCATGCATTTTGCAAGCGATTATTCAAGCGATCGATTTGAAACAATTTCTGATATCAATTATTTCTCTATGCAACTTGACGTCGAACACATGACAGAACTTGTACTTAAACAAGACACTTGTGTGACTTTGCAGGCGTTCAAAGGACCGTGCACGTGTTACACAATTCGGAGCAACCAGCTTCGGTATTCGCCCTCCTCGAGTCGGGTAGCAAAGTGGTACCATTGATAGCGGATGGCCTGTTCGATCTGCTGATGTTAAAAATGACGAACATTTATACCAGTAAGAAGCAAACGAAGATCGAGTCCAAGGGTCCGCGATTCGAAATCGGCGATTTTTGCGTCAAATTGGGCAGCGTGACGATGAGTCAAAATTTCAAAGGCGTCCTGGTAGAAGTAAGTGACACTCCATATTCCTCTCGAAAAGAGAAGGAACTTCCTAAAAGTGACGTCGAAGAATCGTCGGTCCGATCGCTTTTTCTACGAATCTGTGATCCACGGAAATTCCCGACTCTTTAAAGTGATATTCTTCATTCCAATCTGCTGACAGCTGATCGTCGTTTCCGATATTTTTAATTTGGCCTTCAATTTTTTTTTTTTTTTTTATAAAAATTCACGTGAAAAAAGCCTGCTTTTATATCCATACAGAAAAAGCAGATATCTCTTTGTTTTCGACCGTCGTTCCTCTTCCTTTGATCATCATGAATGAGAACGAGGGTAATCTCCTGCAATATTCGAATTCACGAGCGAAACAATGTTGGTTTCGAATTTCTGAATTCCCATCGAATTCTTCGAGAAGGGACATTTCGGATGAATCTCCTTCATGCTTTCGGTGCCTTTCTTCCCCCTTGCCAATCAGGCGAGCGTGCATTATCGATTGACAATTCGGACACGAGACTCCCCCTTTCCGCGCAAATCGCGTATGTACATACACCGGTTATAGATACGCTTTAGGGGCGGAACGTGGACGCCACGCACCCCTCGTGCCGCATGGCGAATACGTGTCTCGCGTGTCAAACTCGGCACGCCCGAGATATTTCATGCCGCCGATGTACCACTGCTGATCAGAAGTACGCGAGAATAATCGCCTAATTAAGTGCCAAATGCCAACGATAAATCTTGATGTCGTCTCATCGATTGTATAAGCTCAGACACCATTTAAAGAATTAAAAAGGAAATTAGTTTTAACATATTGGAAGTCTTTAATCGAAAAATACCAAAAACA